CTTCTGTCCACCGGTGGATAAGCGGTAAGTTTACGGATTTACAACGCTAAAATCCAGGGCTCGATTCTTCACGGGGGACAGAGTACGTATAAACTATTGTCTAGCTTTGCGCTAAGACCAAACCATGTGCACTGACCTTTTTTTATTTCACTCCAGAAGTTATTTTCTCGGTTGATGCTTTAAAGCACCCTCCACTTTTTCACGCCCACTTTGTTCTCATTTGAAAAAGAAATATGTATACGTTCTCATGAAACGATAACAACTTGTGCACCAAACATTATATCTATTGTAAGATGTCATTATATAATAAGATCCAGTGTTTTATTTTGGAGAAGGCATAATGTTTATATTTGCGTTTTCTGGCAAAGGTGCTATGTGCATCTGTTGCCGACCCTAATTTTGAACTACTGGAAAAACAGAGGGAAGACAAACCAATCAGCAGCAGCCTACCACCCACCGTCCACGCTAAGGGATTGGTTGTTACTTTTATAACGCACCCACAGATTTAAATATTCTCTTACCAATTTAAGTAAAAACTGGGAGAGGGGGGGGGCTGTGGTTCGAATATTAAGATAACGTAATTTTTTTTCTATGACATTAAAATATTTTTTACAAGTTTCTTCGTTAAAAGTGTTCCATAAGAAGTTTAAAACTCCGCCCTGACGAAGATACTCGGAAGTACCCGAAATGGAATCTAATCACTAGTTCGGTAGACAAGTTGTCCAGTTTCCCTTACCGATATATGTATATATAGATATATGTATAAAAATCGCGCTCCACACTTAGGCGCGTTATAAATGTGACGATCAACTCCCACCATTCACTCAGACATAAGTAGCCCAAGAATTGATATTGGATTCTGTTGACTACCCGCCTTTCATCTAGTCTGTCAATTCATAATTACTGGGCCCGGCATGGCCAGGTGGTTGGGGCGCTTGACTCGCATTCTGAGGGTCACGGGTTCGAATCCCCGTCCCACCAAACACTCGCCCTTTCAGCCGTGGGGGCGTTATAATGTGATGGTCAATCCGACTATTCGTTGGTAAAAGAGTAGCCCAAGAGTTGGCGGTTTGTGGTGATGACTAACTGCCGTCCTTCTAGTCTTTCACTGCTAAATTAGGGACGGCTAGTCCTCGTGTGGCTTTGCGCGAAATTCCAAAACAAACAAACAAATCATAATTACTGACAACTATGCACAGATAGCTTAAGTACCATTGATTGACGTTACATACCATAAAACTTTAATTTAAAATGAAGTATGTTGAATATGCTATGTAAGGATTTTAGCTTTGATATTGCTGTTCTATAAAAGTTGGTTTACTTCTAAATTATTAGCATTTTGAAAAAAAATACCACTATTTTGGGGATCCTCAAGAGGCTGGTAAGATAGGTAAAAGTTGTATGTCTTAATTTTTAAATAGTATATATCTTCAAAAAAGTATATTGGTGGTATATTTCAGACTATATCAATGTATGAAAATAAAAAATAAGATTCCAAGACAAACTAGTACCCTGTTTTATAATCAGGCTCAAACTTCATTACTTTATCTGAAATCAATGTACCTTTTTTTTTTTTTGTAGCGCAAAAGCTAAGACGTTTTTGGAAGATTCGTGGATTATTAAGCTTATTTATTACATTTTCATCACGATTAAAGAAACTCGGTTGTATTTTAGCTACTGTGTTATGAATATAAATTTCGTGGTAAGCTACCGTGTATTTGATAAGTTTAATACAGTGAAACTTAGGGAAGTCTCTAGCATAAAATGTTAATTCTTGTATGTATGTATGTATGTGTGTGTGTGTGTGTGTATATATATGAAAAAGGGAGGGAGTTAGAACAATAGTTTTCTATCAACTGAAAATTACAGTTATCTTTCTAAAAACCAGTGATGACACTCAGATTGTTTTTATCTGATCATACTCGGGCCGGACGTGCCATAGTCATTAGCGTACCTGGCTGTGAATGTAAAGTGCCAAGGTTCGAGCCGCGTTATGGCGCTGAACACACTTACAGCTGTGGCCCATGGGTGTTACAACCGTGACAACCAACCCCAGTATTCGGTTCAGAGTACTGAAGACTGACGTTACATATAAAAAAAAAAATATGATTTTGTACAAATGATTTTGCAGAAGCATCCTGTTTTATAAAATGTTTAGTTATATTATGACTATTGTAACGGGCTCTATTTTGTCGTTGGGTTTAACTTATACTCGTTATAAGTGAATTTATTTGTTACTAGGATATTTTGTTATATGCAGTCACGGGTAAGGCTCACAAGCCACCAACTCGAGGAAATTTACGTAAAGAACAAAGAAACAACTGGGAGACCAGGTAACATGAAACATTTATTTGATTGAACAAATTCCGACAACTTGCATCCACCTTGCTCTCTCTCTCCAACATGAACAATTCCTCTACTGTACTTATTAACATTTCCGCGATACTCAGTAAATCATTAAGTATCTTGACTCCTACTAGACCTTCTGTTGTAATATACTGTATACTAGTTACGTTACTAGACGAAGTATAGAAGGCTTTTAAACTTGCAGGAAGTTCGAATGGTGAAAGTTTTCTACAGACGCTAAAGCTGTCATCTGTTCAGAGTATTCATTGAAGAGCGGAAGGGCTATCTTCTTCTTTGTGCTGTCTTGCCGGCTGCCGGGCTGTTTTTTTTTTTTATTATTATTATTTGGGGGGGGGGGCTGTTTCTCTGTGTGCCCAAACCATGGCTTCTTGTACTTAATTAATAGGGTGTTGGCGTCGTTCTAGGTGGAACCAAACCCTAACCACAGCACGTGTTTCTTCGGTTTTTGATTGTTTGAACAAATGAACCAAAGCCATAACTACTATTCCTGGATTCCAATCGGTTACGTACCAATAATGCGTCGCATCAGCATAGGGACATTTTGTCAACTCATATATTTTCTTTCTCAATTTTCTTAGAGTTTGGCGAGACCTTATCTGTATCTCTGACGTGCCTAGAATTCAGGCCGCTTGGCCTCTGCCCAGTATATGTTTCCTTCCATACATCCCCGCTATGTAGGCCTCTAGTTTAGTGTTCTTATATCATTATCACCTCCCTGAACGTGGTGTGAGATATTCATCTATATCTTGTTAATACATCCTAGACTACATAAATTTCTCGTCAACCTGTCGATTTAATTGCCTCTGCTTCCTGCTGATAAAACGAATTGCTGATTTTTTTTTCTCTCTCTCTCTCTTTATCTAATGATACAGGCTTGAAATGTATTTTCCAATTAAGCACGTGTCCCGTTGACCTGGGTTTATTCATGGCCTTATTGGGTGACGCATTTCGCTTACATGCATCAGCATCCAAAAGCTTTTTATTACTTTGGTTGGTTGACTAATACGTACTGTAATTTTCTATGGCATCTCATTCTCCGTAATCATTATCAACCGAATTTTATACTAAACATTTGCTAATAAGCAGTTGTTTTACTATAATATTTTAAGGTGACTTTTTCTCTTTATTGTGGGAAGTTCACAGCTGAGTATCAGTCGAACAATATTCAAGCTGCCTTATGACTTTCTTAGACATTCATTGTATGTCATGAAATTACGTTATGGGCTTATCATTTTAGAATATATCAAACGAGAGACATTGGGTGTAGAGTTAAAGTTAAAACCTCCGTGTTGTAAGCCCAGTGCTTGTTCATATGTGTCGTATTAGTTTGTGATGCCTCGTGTTTTAGAACGTGTCTGGAAATGTAATAGTTTTAAGTTTGTGTTACTTGAAAGTAACTGATCCGCAGAAAACTAATAACTTAGAAATTAATATTTGTCGTGAATAAACAGATTTTATGACCAATTAGAAAATATAGTTTTGTACAAGATTTGTTTTCAGATGTGTCACAGGCCTTAAGACCGCATGTTAATACAATGGAATTTATATTTATGTGTGTTGTAACATCTTGGATACATTTTATTCCCATAAAAACTGTAAGCAACACTAGTTTATAAAATGGACTCGTGTTCTAAAGCATACCAGTGGAAACAAGTCTACCTGGTATTAAAATGTGATAAAACACACAATCGCATCTGTTAAAGGTAATGCACCATTTACTAGGTTTCATATAGAAGTGTTATGCTACTACTTGTACACCGTTTTTAATTAAACTCGTAGGTATGTTTTGCTTGAAGAGTTAAAAAGTTAGCTCTTCTCTCTCTATCGATACAAACCCATGTAGCAATACGGTGTTTACCGTACCTGTAATGGAACCTGGCTTCGAGAAGACCTAGATGTGTTCTTCTAGTTGGATAAAGCTGTAATTGTAGCTTACAAAGCATGGTGTGAATAAACAGATGTGGTTGGTTGATTTGTTATATACACCGGAGGTTTGTAGACGATGTACGTCATCAGAAAATGGTTTTCATTGATTCAGATCTGTTCAACTGTTAATAGCCTACTGGACTGGAGCAGAGCAGCTGCACGTCTACAAAAACATTGTAGACTGCTATTCGCTGCTTAAAGGAAACGTTCTGCGCCAGACTCTAACTTTATATCACTTCAGAATTCGGAGTTTTAGTCTAACAGAAATTGGGGACTGTACGTGTCACAGTGATTGGTAAAAACGTGTTAACCTAGTGGTTCGTGGGCAAGTGAAATAAAACAATCTCGATCTCTTTACTTGTGCCTTCAACAAAAACAAAGTCAACATTTTGGTAATAGCAGTTTTTACGAACATGTTGAAGATAGTACTGTCGTTATCGCGGTTGAAAAAATAGTTATGTAACTTTTATCCGAGATAATTTAGGAGCTAGTAGTACAGTATATTAAATCCTAGTCTCATAGAAAAACAAAAACTAGTACTGTTTTATAACGAGCGTAGCCACCGTGTTTTAAGTATAGTTTGGCATCAGTGGAAAATTTTGGAATGGAAATTTAACGTGATACATATCTACTGACGTTTACGTTGGTGTGCGGATATTTAAAAAAGAAATGCGAATTATCTTGCACCTTATCGTTTCTTTGTTCCTCTGTCTTCTTTGTAGAAGGTGAACTAAAAATGATCTTGTCACGTTCGTTACCATGGAGAAGCTACCCGGGAAGGCACTAGATTATTTACGGGAGTTATTTTCACCGTCCAAGAGGTTTTCGTTATTTGAACCTAGAAGACCGTCTCTTACTTGATTTAAGAGTTCAAATGAATAGCAGTAGATAATTGAATATGATAAATGCTTTACATACAATGATAGCTATTTCACATTATGATATATAGCTAAATTATTAATTGAATATATGTTTGAAACAATTGCCTTTTTGTACAGTTGATTTTAATGTATAGTTTATCAGTTCGTGGTTGTGTGCACACGTGTGTCTGTAAAAAAGTTTATCAAGTCAGAAAAAAATTGATTACGGTATATTTCTTTGCAATTTAGCAAAAATGGCGCGGTAAAATATATGCTACGTTGGTAATTAACATATTCATTAGGTCCCAGAAGCATGTATTAAATAGTCAAGCTAACATTAGCCAATCAGCTACCAATAAACACGAAGAGACAAACAAGTTACGCGGATATATATTAATATATATTAATCGAGGTCTCTTATCCATGTATTGTAAATATTTTGGTAAGAAATGAATGTTTATATATTTTTACGACGTATAACCAGAAGTTCAAAAACAAACGAGTAACTACGTGAATTATGTACAGATCACTTTTTTAAAACCATTTTGAAATGTGTGTTTAATTAGGCATGCGTCAGTTTTTCTTTGTGCAATCGGATTTTCCTTTAATTTTTTTCCAGTTATGTACGTTTAACCAACTAAGGATTTCTTTAGACTTATCACATAGTTGAATTTCAACAATATAATGTGTACATGTTTTAATTTGAGTAATGGTTTGTTTTATAGTGACATAATAAATTTTAAAATGAAATGTAGTTTTTGGCTGATAAATGTGGATTACATAATTATGAAATTATTTACTCAGTAATACTTTTTAAGTGACTTCCTATAAATATCATATTCTTTCTTTCTTTATCGTTTTGAAATTATCAAGGTGATTGCCATATCGATCTGCATTTTTAACACCCAGTCCGCGAGACAGGGAAACATGTTTGATGGGTTGATGCCCAAACAAAGTTTTCCGGTACTCCAATTCTGAAAAGAGATTGAACTCCTTGTGGTATCTCAAATCAGAATTTCCCGACAGCGTGGCCAAATTCGTACTAGTTTCCAGTCTATAAGAGAGTAAAACCCATAACCCAATCCAAAATTCTACAAAAGATACAGTAGTGGCCGCAAAGTTGCGCAATACAAGATCTGGTTCCTCAGTTCTGTAAAGTCGTTTTCTCCACGGTTTCTGTAAGTTCTATCGATAGAAATGGACGAGAAAAGCTATAAAGTGGCTAAGTGCAGTACCTGCCTGAACATGAACACTTCTACTATTTTATGCAAGATGAACACAGTTCAGCCAACCCCCCCCCCCCCTAAACCCCCGCAACTCGTTGTCCAACACTGTTGAGAGGTGAGTTCTTTTGGTAGTTTCTTCTTTTTCTTTTTTTTCCTTAGGTTAACAGAACGACCACTTTATCGGAGTTCACATTCTTTTGTTTCTAACTTGGGTACTGGAAACCGTGGCATCTCTTTGTAGCCCACCCAATTCCCCGAATTCGGTTTCGTTGACTCGCAGACTGAGTGTTAAATAAAGGTTATAAGTTGGATCGTATCAAGTATTCAGCGTTATCAGAACTTTACAGATGTTATTGTATAATATGAATAAGATTATATATAGATTAGATGGCTTAAGAAACCTTTATTTTATATCTTGGATAAAGTACGTTGATGACACACGGTTACTACCCGTGCGACCTTTTGAAGTGTTTGTTTTATCCAAATATAGCTCGGAAGCCATCGAAGGGGGCAAGAATGTAAACTCGCGAAAACCGCATTTTGGTACAATTAAAATATTGGAATTCTGTCTTTTCCTGAAAAAAGAAAGTTTGAAGTTCAACAGAGAATCAAGAAAACAACATAAACTCGTACAGTTAAAGCTTAACTGACATTTACTGTTGGTACAGTATAGAAGTAGCAGTGTGTTCTTCGTTGGCCAGAATAGTAGTTTCCAAAGTAGAGACTGTGGACCCCGGAGGCCGCACGAAAATGTCAGGGTTGGGGCCTCAACAAACGCAAAATACACAGTATTAATAATGTACCCACTATCTTGTAGATTTATATTGGGTAGAGGTCCTCAGTTAGGATGCGCAATGTTCTGGGGGTATAGAACTGGAAAAGCTTGGGAACCCATAGGATAAATCGTACATATTGCATATTCATTGGCTGGCGCTGTGTTTGAACTCTGAAACTGTCTTCCTTCTTTAAGCATTATGTCCAGTTTTCTATATATAGTCTGCAAATTAACAGAAAAAATTGTTTTATTACACTTTTATATCGTTTGTTAGAAAATCAGAATATTTACCTATTTTAGCGTTGTGAAATTCTTTTCCAGATTTCTTTTTTAAAGATAAACTAGATTTTTACAATAATATTTCTCAAAAGAGGGCTCTCGAATCCTTGACAGTGTTACTGTGAAATATTGTCCAGAACAATTTATCCATTCACCGTGGGTACGCTGTCAAATTTCACTATTCTGTTAGGCAAGAGTTCACAGTAGATAGATTCCTTCCCTCTTGTCTGTCAATTAACAATTAGAGACTGCTATGCCCAGTTAGTCCTCTGTGTAGCTTTGCAACAACAAAAAAATCAAAACAAATCATTCGTTATTGCACATTACCACATTGTTCCATGTCTGCTCCATCCATTTCAACAGTCAGTTGAAAGCAATAAAAAAAAACGTCTCTCTTTATCTGTTAATGCGTATCAGGATAGCTTACAAAGGGGTGCATAATTATGGCTCACCCTGTACTTATAGCTTAGTTCAACTTACAGTTACACATGTTAATAACACCAAGTTGGTGACTTGTCAGTTTGTATTGTTCATCCCCTGGTCCAGTATTGCTGTCCTGCTTGTAAGTTCTTTTAGAATCTTTCTACATTTATGTGGACTTCCTCTCCTTTGAGGTACCTCACATATCTGTTCAAGTTTCGGTGAAAATGTTAGCTGTTGACATTCTAGGCAGTTTATTGCATTAACATCTTGAAATATTGCTTGTATTACAGAAAGAACATATGTATAAGCCTACTAACTATTCGTTGTGATTCTATATATATATATATATATATATACTTAGTTTTTAAAATTCTAAGAAAATAATCGTATTTATTGCAAATATGATTTTTCAAGCTCATAAAACTTACTATACCGCATGAGTATGCACCAAATTTTTGGGTGATGTATTTGTGTGTTTATATTATATTTCTGTGTTGTACCATCGAAAACATAGATCGAACGTCCAACGTGCTAACACCGAACCTACTTCTTCAACATCTACATCACAACAAGTCTGGCGCCACGAACCTCGTCGCCAGGTGTCTGACAGTTCCGTGTCTATTGTGATATCCAGCTGTCCAGGTAGAAAAACCGTGAGAGCTGGTTATAAAAGTTGTGTTTGTGTGTGTGTAGCAAGATTCTCGTTCTCTTGATAGTTGAATTTCCATTAAAGAATGCACTAATACATTACGTGTGTCGAGTCTGTGTTGCTTTATAAATATTTTTATTAGACCGCTAGAGTGAGAAATATTTTATCATGTATTCTCTTGATACTGGCATGTAATAAGTTAGCTAGGTTAATTCGTATTTTTGAATTATCGTTGATGATATTCATTACTCTAATGATACATTTTTATGCATCATTTGATACGCTTTCATATTTTCTGTTAAACTGTGTACATGCGCCACGTATGCATTGCCAGTTCGTGTGGTTTTTTAAAATTATCAATCTAGAAAGTAAAATATAACCTGGAATGTATGATTACGACATGAATTATGGTTATCCCTTTCATAATCTGAATCACCCCCACCTTGATACTGGTTCGTTCGTTTCGTTGTTGATTTTATTGACTTGGTCTAGTTCATCTATTCCATTCGTGCAAAGACGAGATCTGAAGCTTCAACATGCTGTTGCCACTACAGAAAATAAAATCAATATTTAGGGGCAGAAGTTCAAATTGAAATTGGAAAGCCCCGAGCTCCTCAGGTGTTAATGATGTACTGTTAGTAATGTTGTTTAAAATGAGATTTTAAAATATGCATTCACAACTAAAAGGTATTAAATTGTCTAACCTTTGATCCTCTGTAGAACGTGTAGAAGGCCACATATATGTTATTTTGATATCACTGTATTAATTTAGAACCAGACCATGGTCCATACCAACGACCATGCAAAGTACAGCGACAGCTTCGGCTCGTCACACCTTCACCTACGCCCCCTAGTGATAATAGGCAGTCACGCAGTTCGGCAACGGAATCATCTCGACCTGCTCCTCGGTTGCAACGACAAGCTCCTGTTCTTGGAGCATGGAAAACATCACCGTGGTATACCAAACTTCACGTGCCTCCTAAGCATGGGTTTGTATCAGAGCTGATAATTTTGCAATCAAGTAATTAAAGCCTCGTGAAATCAGACACCTCCCCAATTTCTGATACCGTTAACAAAAAGCGAAATTTTCACAGGTACTTAAGAATTTAAAACATTTCATGCTGAATGTTTTACTTAGAAAAAAGACAAAAGAACAGGAAGTTTTCCAGAGAATTTCTATAGTACTTTGAAGGATTTATTTTACTTTTCAAGTTTGCACTCTTTTCAACAGCTAGTGAAGATAAAATATAGTTTCATCCTTTGTCCAAGTGTAATAAGGCTATCATATCTACGAAATTATTCTCTTGTAGATCAATAGAACATTGACTAGTTATTTAATATTTTTTCTAACTTATGTCGACCGGTTTTGGTGATAAGACGTGATGTTATTCGATATTTTGTAGTTTTAAAAAAGAAGTTAAAGTCCGAATTACGTCTTTGCCTCGGCTAAGGTGTTATAATTGCCATACCCTGCATATGAAATAAACATACACGTGTAAAAGAAAGTATTGTTATCGTATATATGCTGGCCTTGTTACAGTATGTTAATATATACACCTGGAAAAAAGTTAAGCACCCCCGTGTTTTTTTCAAGTGATTCAGATTCGACGTTCTTGTG